ACTTCAGGGCCCCGGTGCAAGAAACCATGAAGGCCCCACCCCAACCCCCCCTCACAATGTGAAGGAGCTGCAGAGAGTTGGCCTGCTGCATGCTGGGAGCTGAGGCGGTTAACAGGGCCATCTTCTTCTTGTCCGGGCATCCCCCAAGTGATGGAACTACTACTACTGGGCCCTAGCGTTCCACTACTTTGGGTTGCCCGTTAACCACCAAGGTGCTGACATTGCCTCCTGGGACTACAGCTCCCAGCAGGCAGATGCTGGTTAATATGGTGGTTAATATGGGGTTATGGGCAGTCTTACCAGGACTGCGGGCGGTCTCTCTAGGGCTGTGGACGGTCTCTCCAGAGCTCAGCAAGGCTGTGTGCTACCTGTGGTCTCAGTAGGGGTATGTGCTGCCTCACCAGGGCAGCAGGCTGACTCACCAGGGCTGCGGGTGCTCCCACCAGGGTTGTGTGCTACCTGTGGTCTCAGTAGGCGTTATGTGCGACCTCACCAGGGCTATAAGCGGTCTCACCAGGGCTCTGCAGGATCTCAGGTGGATAGAGTGCAGGGTTAGGGCTGCTGACAGTTTGTCCACCCTCCGTGTCTGGGTTGGTCTTCTCTCTCTGTGGCTACTCTCTGCCTGACACCGCTCCTAGACCCCTCCTTACCGGCACCCTCAGGTGGTGAGCTGGCCCTGGCAGTGCCTGCAGAGCGGCGGGTGGAGGGAGCCACTGGGCAGGTAATATTATTAAGGTTTACCCCCCCGCCACCCCTCCTGATGCGGCGTCAGAGCACATGATCCCCTTGCCCCCCCAGCTTCAGCACTCGCGCTGATTAACCCCTCCCTCTCACTGCCCTACTCAGACAAGCTTCGGTCCAGTCAGAGCAGGCTGATGCATAGCGTCGGTCAGGCTGCAGGAGTCTTTAAATAGACTGTGACCCCTAATGAAAATACATTCTCCACCCACACTGGCTTGCTGGGCCCAGGAAAAACGGTGTTCTGGAATTTTTTTTTAAATGTTGGCAACTTTGCAATAACAACAAGAGAGGCATGCGCACAGGAGTGACAACCCATAACATTTCTGGACCACGTCACTTCCAGGAGCACATGTAGAAAGGGTGTCTGGAAAACAGCTGATGACGTGACCGCACCAGAATTGACGTGGTTGAAAGATTTTATGGGGGGCGAGAAAAATTATAGAACACCAGATTTGAAACTGTCTGGTTCCTCCCACAGCTCACAGCCCAGAAGTCTGGACAGCCAGAAGTGGCCTACAGTGGGTGGGAGTGCCTGAATACTGGACACGGAGCAGAGGAAGACCATACGGTAGCCCATCAGAAGAGTGCCATCCCCTTGTCAGCCACCCCTGGATGAATGGTGAAAGTGGCAGGAGGGGACGGGGAGGAGGCAAGGGAAGAGGGAGAGCGTGGGGGGGCTAAGCAGCAGCCCCACCTGAGAGCCCGTGCAGCCCCACCTGAGAGCCCGCCTAGTCCTCCTTAGACCCTGCGCAGCCCCACCTGGCAGTCCACATAGCCCTTCTTAGGCCCTGCACAGCCCACCTGAGAGCCCGCACAGGCCACCTGAGAGCCCACATCGCCCTTCTTAGACCCTGCACAGTCCACCTGAGAGCTCCCACAGGCCACCCGAGAATCCATGAAGCCCACCTGAGAACCTGCACAGCCCACCTGTGAGCTCGCACAGCCATCATGAAACTCTGCACAGCCATTATGAGACTCCAAACAGCCCACTTGAGAGTCTGCATGGCCAACCTGAGAACCCACACAGCCCACCTCAGAGCCTGCACAGCCATCATGAAACTCTGCGCAGCAGAGAGCCCGCACAGCCCACCAGAGAGCCCTGCACAGCCATTATGAAACTCTGCCCACCAGAGAGCCCACACAGCCAACCAGAGAGCCCGCACAGCCATCATGAAACTCTGCACAGCCCACCAGAGAGCCCGCACAGCCCACCAGAGAGGCCGCATAGCCCTCCTTAGACCCTGCACAGGCCACCTGAGAGCCCGCACAGCCCCACCTGAGAGCCTGCACAGTCCCACCTGACAGCCCACACAGTCCCACCTGACAGCCCACGCAGCCCCACCTGAGAGCCGGCATAGTCCACCTGAGAGCCCGCACAGCCCAGCTGAGAGCTTGCACAGGCCACCTGGGAACCCACGCAACCCGACCTGAGAGCCCACACAGCTCCACCTGAGAGCCCACATGAGAGCCCGCATAGTCCACCTGAGAGCCCACATAGCCCTCCTTAGACCCTGCACAGTCCACCTGAGAGCTTGCACAGGCCGCCTGAGAACCCACCTGAGAATCCATGCAGCCCACCTGAGAGCCCGCAAAGCCATCATGAAACTCTGCACAGCCCCACCAGAGAGCCCGCGCAGCCCCACCAGAGAGCCCGCACAGCCCACCCGAGACCTTGCACAGCCCACCCGAGAGCCCACACAGCCCACCCAAGAGCCCACATGAAACACTGCACAGCCCACCTAA